TGTGTGTGTGTGTGTGTGTGTGTGTGTGTGTGTGTGTGTGTGTGTGTCATTGATCATCGCGAGAAAATCCCTGCGGCACCAATCGATAGCATGTGTGCATACCATGACTTGAGTCAAGGACAGAGATGGTGAAAAAGTAGAAGATCATCATTGTCCATTAACAAATGGATTGGAACACTTTTCACGTCTCAGTTAGCTTTTTAGTTTCACAAGACAAACAAAACGACACGTCGATACTCAAACCTCAAAGCTTGGAGGTTGCAGCTAGTAAAAAAAAGAACTTAGTGTACATATGAGTGCAGTTCCACACTCTCATTGTTTTAACTTGATGTTAAATCATTCTATCTCTATAAAACAATCACTGAGGCTTTGCACCAATCCTTTTTGTGATGCCAACATCAACAAATAGCATAGAAACACTTAATGTTTGAAGCCAAAGTTGTAGCCTAATGTGTAATCCGAATGTGCCAAAGAAACGGATCAACCATCCACAGTAGACAGATTGATTATTAATTCCTGCCATAGTTCTCATTGCCTTATTTTACCAATGCTATGGATCACTCTGGAGTGTCGTATATTAAATATCCCCAAAAGGGTGGTGGTCCATGTTAATTGCAAGCCAAAAGGTGTCAACAAAGCTGTAACATTTCGTGTTGTCAGAAGTTCAAATATCAGTTTTGATGAGAAAGAGCCAACCAATGGACAAACATGTGACACACACACATACACGCATGGAATGCCATTTGTGAGTTTGCCCAGAAATCTGTTCAACCAAGCCACCTCACGACAACTCAATTCAAAGACCAAAGATGTTGTCCTTCTCCATTGATGTTTCAAGCCAGAAAACACAACCGCACTTTACATTCGCAATGTATAAAAGTAAGTGGCAAGCTTTTACTGATGCAAGTGACTCACGTGTTTTGCGGTGGCCGTGCGTACGGGTGGTGAGCGTGGTGGAGACCGCCTCAGTGGTAGTGTGCTCCAGGGTCCACATCTGCGTAGAGTCATGGAGCACCGTTGGGTTGGACGGTGAGGGGCTAGATGTTGCTGTTCCAATAATGAAGGTTGTCCGTTGCGCTGCAGTGGTTGTAGTAAAAGCCGAGGGTCCACGTCCATTTCGATTTAGAGGATTCCGTGGGGTTACTTGGCTACCCGAGGCTCCACTCCCTCGAGGGTTTATAGTCGTGGTCGTAGCAGTGGAACGAGTTCTACCTTTCGCAATAGTTACAGTTCTAGGTGTGGGCTTCTCGCCATCAACTGTAGGAGTAGTTGTCGTGGTGGTAGAATCGGGACTTTTGGGAATCCCGCTTGGCTTGGAGAGGAAGATAGGATCCTGGCCTATTCGATTAGCATCCACCAGGTCTGTTGGCACGTAATCCCGCACTGTACCAACAACAATCCATTTCAGCAACATCAGGCTCAATCCAAGGCCAATAAAGCCGATAAGTAAGGGGACCACACACAGCCATGTCTGCTGGCGAGGCCAGACCGCACAGCGAAGGGGACCCTGATCCTGGGCCTGGCCCTCAACGCGGCCCCCTGAAGCCCCTGAACCCTCAGGTTCCTCCAGGATCACCGCCCCGGAAACAGCTGCTCCAGAACACTCGCTCATCCTTCCCTGCCGTCCTTTATGGCTCATTGAGGGTTAACCCTGTGATAAGCATCAGCAGCACATGGCGGAAAGGTTCCCAACAATGCCGGACAGTGAGAAGAGACAAGGGACAAATGGACACAAAAGGACCTCACAGGAATTGGACACTTATGAACATGTACAAAAATATGTAATCCGAGGATAAAGAGAAGGGGAGGGGTGCAGGAGATACATGCAGACACGCTTTCACAAACACACAAGCACGCACACTCACACTCAGAGACACCAGTGAGAAATGGGAGAGCTTGCGTAGACTGATGATCGCCCGATTAGTCCGCGTTTAGTCCTGCCCAACTCTCGATGTCCAAATGTGAACTTGAAGAATGTTCACAGCAGGATAAGCCAGGGGAGAAGAAGTAGAAGTGATGCTTCTAACTGGGAGAAGAAAGGACAGGAGGGAGAGGTGGGTGAGAAGGAACAGCTTTACATCCGTGCATGTGAGGAATCCGTGGCATCAATGTTCAGATGTCACTGCAGTAAAAAAAAAGCACAGCTATTTCTACTCAACATGCATATTTGTCCCTGTCAAGCACAATGGGATAGTATCGCCGAATGAGGGGAGTGAAACTTGCAGGGTGGGTCTTGTTGCCTCCCCCACCCCGTGGCGGATCCCAAAAAAAATGAAAGATGTTGTCCAATGCAGCCTGTTCCAACAGCTTTAGCCGAGTCAGCGTCCCTCAGCCCCCCAAATCGGTCTCTTTTGTAACTGAAAGAGAGCGATATATGTGTCGTTTATGCGTCTGTCGAACACTCTCCTTGGATTATCTGCTATCTTTCTTGCCCGTTGCTTTTCAATCAGCGTCTCCTTTTCTTTTTTTGGAGGATCTTAATTATTTTGTATTATTTTTTTCACTCTTTGGTTCCAAACCCACTTTGCTCTTTATTCCAGTGAGGCTGAAAATAAAGCTGTACAATCCAAAGAATGTTCCTGATCCATTCAAAAAGCCACACTTTCGATGAGGACAGAGAGGGAGAGTGAAAAAAATAAAAAAATAATTAGGGGTGTTGTCGCGCACTGGTGGTATCACAGGGCGGATAAATCTGCAACTGCGACGCGTGATCCTGCTCCTTCTCCAGCCGGCTGTGGGTCAGATATCCCCAAGCTGTCCGCTCAGCGCCCTGCTGTCTCAGTATCCCGTCCGTTAATACTGCACCAAGCGCTCGGAAAGCCTCTTCTCATCTATTTGCAGAGAACATTCCGCCAGAGAGGGATGAAACAAGAGAGGACGAGGAGCAGGGAGTGGATGCAAATAATTAAAAAAGAAAGAGCCAGAGACAAGAGACAGAAAGAGATAAGAGCAAAAACACAAACAGGAGGCTACAGTATTAAAAATATCCCACTGATTCTCTCTTCTCGCTCTCTGAGTGGTGTTTTCTTCCTCAGTCCCTGAAAGCCTGTGCTCTTTTGAGTCAGCTTATGATTTGTTAGTTGGGTTGCTGGGATCCTCTGCCCGTCCTTCCCTCAAGGATGCTTTCTTGGAGATGATTAGAAATGTACTCCCCGCGCTCGGATGAGAACTTGCAGCCGCAGCAGTGAAGGCTCCCTCGCCCCCTGTGGGGTTGGCAACATCCAACGATGCAGCTGTCTTTACCTGTGGCAATTGTTATGCAGACGCACATACAGCTGCCTCCCTGAGCTGCTGCCGCTGAGAGAAGGGAACGAATGAGATGGGGGGGAAAAATGCAGGCACAGACAGAATGGAGTGTGCACACTGGTAGAGTAATGGAAGAGAGAGAGAGAGAGAGAGAGAGAGAGAGAGAGAGAGAGAGAGAGAGAGAGAGAGAGAGAGAGAGAGAGAGAGAGAGAGAGAGAGAGAGACAGGAAGGGAGGGAGGGAAAGAGGCTGCACCTGCTAGATGCACCAGCACTGGGAAGCTTGCCCACCTCCGTTAGCAGGGAAGGGGAGTGGGTAAAGATGCAGAATGCATACAGAAAACTAGAGAAAAAAAAGGGGGAAAAGGTTGAGTGGAGGTGTGTGTACAGATAAAGATAATGAGTGTGGGAGGGGTAGAGGGGGAGATGGCGAGAGAGCTCTGCAGCGGCAGACGAGGCAGTTACCAGCGAGAAGCCTGAGTCCCAGAGGGATCAGAGCAGAGGCACAGTGCGGGAGCCGTCCCTCACTTGGCCCCGCCCACTGCACAGCATCAGAGGAGAGACTGGGGAAGAAGAGACGGATTATGAAACGAAAGACATTTAAGTGTGTTTAATGCCATCTTTAGTATTCATGTGGATGCACTGGAGCTTAGTGAGAAATGGATAAAAACTCTAGGTGTATGTAAAAAAAAAAAAAAAAAAGGCTGACTTTAAGTGAAACCCTGTAGTCTTTTAAAAAAAAGCTCTAAATGTATAAAGACATTTAGTTTTCTAATGCTGCACATCACTACAATCTTTGGGTTTTGGTTCAAACGTTTATGACAGCTTCCTTATCTAAGATATATGTTGGACTTTTAGGATGTGTTCTGGGTAATTGTATGTGTGGAATTGCAAATGTTATATAGCCTCCTTATTTAGTCATCTGAATTCCATCTATTTTATTTCTTAAATTCATCTATGCAACTTTATATTGCTATTTGTAGCATGTCAGACTATGTATATAATGTGATTCTAATGTATTACCCTACAAAATGAAATCATCACCTGTGATTTGTTTTCCAAAGTGACAAGTGAGTGAAACACATTGCTCTCACTTTAACTTGTTGATACAATGTTTAAATAAATACCAAGAGTTGTTGGTGTGTGACTCTTTAATGTATTGAGTGTGATGTTTAGTCTGTATATTTTATATGTACGTCTGCTCTATTGGTGCAACCATCAAGCATCTTTATTTTTTCAATATCTTTTTTCATTTAAGCTCTACTGTGGATATCTCACACCCCTTTACCCCCTATATCTTTATCTCATATTATGCTCTTAAAAAAATAAAAAAGGCAGATTTATGAACTAAGTGAACTAGGTGAAGTGAGGGAAAGATTGAACACTAGGAAATAATAATAATTCATTATAACAAATAATACAAATACCCATAAATCAAGAGGAAACAGTGTGGACTAATACTATTCGGAGTTTTGCATCACTGCTTTATTTTACTAGTATGTTAAAAAGCCAGTGTGAATGGTTGAGCCTCACTAAATCCAGCCAGTTCAAATCAATTTAACAGTGTACAGCAGTCTGTTAAACAACCTGAAAAGATGCTTGTTGTAAAACCATGCACAGTTTCCTCTCTAGTACTGTGACTTTATCTTTGTGTGCATGAGGATGTGATAGCATCACAAGCCAGACACACACATAAAGTCATGCAGATAGCCATCTGCCTGTAGGAGAATCCTTCAACTGGTCCCGTGGGGAAACTCAAGGCATGTTGTTGTGGCTTTTCACACCTCTTTCTGTCTTCTGACATTCGATTATATGACCAGTCTGTTAAAGCAGCCATCATGACACTGTGGTGGTTTGAAACAATCATCAATAATCACACTGGAAAACAGCCACAGGGAATGAAATGAAACGCTAACCTATCTGCACCACCACTTAATAAAGACGACACTTTTAATAACATAAGAATACAGCGGTAACTGTACATCTTCCACTGTTACAGAACCGGAAGATCAAAGTCTCTCCACATCTTTAAAATCAAATAGATAATATCCAATAGTGATACCCAAATGTGGATTGTAAATAGGTTTATGTGTTATTATGTCAGATAGGTAAGTTGTGAATCAAAGTATGTAAAAAGACTTTCTCTTGGAGTTGCAAAATAAGCTGCTTTACCTCTTAAGTAGAACAGTTTGTAATTGACTACAGAAAAATCAGCTGACAAGCCGAACCTTAACTGTGCTTGATTAGAATATATCATGGCCTGTGCTGGATTATGCAATAATTACTTGTCCTTTACAGTAAGAGAAGTGTCTGCGCAGTGGAATCCAATGGGGAACAAGATCAGTAGTTGTTTGCACTGCACTCAGTGTGTCTTTGTTGTGGGGCTATTTTGAACTATTGAATCACGCACACATGGAGCAAACTGTTGTGACGATGTCAGAAGTGAAATGTGATGAATTATTACACATAGTGTGAGAATGAAAAATGACAGCAACTAATTTCCAATTCATTCATTTATTGATAACTGCTCATCCAATATACTCTACACTTGGCGTGTGTGTTGCTGAACATCCAATGGAGTGCGTTGTCAAATTTGGTGCAGTTTGGAAATTGCTACACGTTCAAGATCAATAAACTTTGAATGAACAAGCGAACAGCGCTTCGTGTAGCAGCGGAGGCAGAGTTTCAGGGTGTTGCGGACTTGAGTGTGTCGTCAGCAGCGGGCCATTACAGGCCGGGGCTCATTGGCTGCAGTACACTTCTGCTGCTGGATGCCGGATATACCAATGTTACAACCAAACTCTTCTTCACTTCCCAGCTGCACTTCCGAGGCCGGGTGCCAAAGTAATCGGAACACACAAAAATTCCACAAACTAGTTAATGTGACATTATCAAATGTTTTTTGTTGTCCAACCGGCAATCAAAAACAATAAAAGAACAGAAACAATCTGAAGATGGAACCAGACGACGTTTACCAATCGAGCTTCTGTCTCTTCTGTAACGTTGTAAACATGTATGATTATTAGTGTTACGTTTCTGTTTGGTTGATAATCCTGCTGTTGGCTTGAACTCTCTGATATAATGTGGAGTTCATATTTAGACTCATAGTTTTATTGTTAAGCTTTTGCCTGTGACTCATAGCTGTAAATACTCACATTCACTTCTGCTGATCGCTACATCCCCACACCATCTGTTGTTTACCATCAAGCAATATAATCCTATTATATACCATAAAATAGGTCTAGTGTTTGTATCGCGTGTAAAGTGATGTGCTTCTTTAGCATATTGCTAAGCATCACAGCGATCATATTAAAAATCCCACAGATTCAGACCAAGTTTATGAATTATAATATCCTCATCACATCCTGTGGCTCACAGAAACTTGTCAATACTTTATGCATTTTTATCTTTTACATGTGAGCACTGCATCACTGAGAATGCATGTTTGTTACGACTCTGAACTTCCTGTTCCATTGAGTGTTGGGAAGCCCTCTCATCCTCCGATGGTGGACACATTTTTTTTTTTCCTCTTTTCTTTTTAGCGACTCGTGCATAGTTTTATGATGCCACTATACTTGGCAGCAGTAAATCACTCACAAACCTATTTCAAGAAGGATGCAGCTCCATTAACCTGCACAAAAACACATATATATGCACGGAGCAAAGCAGAGTCTGCTGATGCCTGCACAGCTTTTGATGATCTTTGTTCTGATGATATTGCTTGTTGCCATTATCAGGCCTCCCACAATGCAACCTGCTTTTTAATTAAAGGGCAAACATGTACTTCCTCCAATCACAATCACAAGACGGCAACAAACAGCAGCCCTATTCCAAAAGGTCAAAGTTGTACAGTAGTCAGTTGTCGAGAGCAATAATGTGTCCATGAGAGCGGGATCTCAGGCGAGTAAGTCCCTGCAGGAATTTTAAATCGCAAAAAAATAATAATCACAAATCCAATCAATCCCTGCATTATTTGCAATATCTTGCTGCCATATTTCTGTCAAAACTGGTAAACTTGGTGGAATCCTTGGACATTGACTGTATTGCTCTGCATTGTAATAAACCAATTCAGACCCAATCATAATTACCCCCATAATTCCATCTATTTTTGCTGCATTTCATGTTCCTCATGTTTTTTTTTCTTCCTTTTGTTACTATCAATGTCCAGATTATGTTAGTTGTGCTAAATCAAGGGCAACTGAAATATTAGCTTCTGTTCTAGTGGAGGTCAATGGGATCCTGTATGAACAATCTGTGGTTCTTAATATGACATTATGGAAAGTAAAGCCACTTCAAATGGCTTAGCTGTGCTTTATCTTTACCTGAATGTTCTCTATCTTACATTGTACTGGCAGTGGTCTGCTGGGTCAGGCAGGTCACATACACACACCTGCACAATATGCAAAGATATTTCACGCTGTTGATGTCTTGCATGACATGAATTTACACTCAGTGCTCCCCTAGCGCTGCAGTCTGTCTCAGTCCCAATTATATGGAAACCCAGCGTTTACTGTTAGTATGCTGGAAACTGCACATTGTCTTATTTTAATTAATTAGGTCATTTATTTTCATTTATAATTACAAAAGCAATGTTTCCCTTTTTCTTGGAGACAGCAGTTTCTTCAATTTCCACTTTGGCGTTGAATGGGAATTTTTGCCGAATCGATGCAAAAGCAGCCCAGTGGTTTTGTCTGAGCTCACATGCTGGAGACCTAGTGATGAGCTCCCGAGGGCAGCTTTCACACATTGACACCAAGATGGACAACAGTAGGGTCAGAGGCCAGTACATCTCACTCAGCCATGTAAGAGGTGTGTTTGTGTGTTTTGATCAATCTAAATTGATAAAAAAAAGTTTTAATCTTCTTTTTTTAACTTGACTAATATGTTGTGTCTCTTTGCCCTGCATTTGTTGTCCCAGATACAATTAACTACCAAACCATTAGGGCCATGGTAGATGGTAGAGTGTGTCAATCCAGCGAAAGGTGGTGGAATGTGAAATGACAACATATTCTCCCTCCAAACTGGCCAAATGCAGAGGAAGACGCTAAAATATAGCGGTTAACGGTACCTTGACTGACTGACGACTCACGTGACTATCGAGTGACA